CCGCTGTGGGGCGGGATCTGCGGGCATTTCTGTGTCTCTAACCCCTGGCTTGGTGTCAGAGGTAGAGGAACAGGAACAGTTTTCTGACGGCAAAACCCTGTGCTGCCTTTGGAACGGCCTCCTCTCCTCTCTCTCTCTCTCTCTCTCAACAGGGAGCAGCCCCCGGGCCGGCGGCCGGAAGCTGGGACACCTGGGCCAGGCCTGTGGCGGCGGCTGGCCCCCGCTGGCAGCTGGGGGGCGGGGGGTGCCGCTTGGCCCGAATGCTGCTTAGTCAGGCTCCACTGCCTGGCGGAGCTGCAGATGTGCCCAGACCTGCCCCCACCAGGTGTCTGCGTCTGGGCTGGGAGGTGACGGAGCAAATGTGACTCTTGTCTCCTGGTGTTTCCCGACACTGTCCTCAGAGGAATGTGGAGGACTCAGGCGAGGCCACCTCAGTAGGCCTCTGACGGGGCGGCCGCTCTCTACCCACCCTGTCCCGTCCCAGGGCCCCGCCCCTGCCCCACTGGCTGGCTCTCACCGGCTTCCTGCCAACAGCCCGGGGCAGGCTCCTCCCCCAGGCCACTGGGGGCGGGGGGGGGGGGGCTCAGGTGAGCGGCAGCTACCCACCTGCCCCGCCGGAGAACGCCGCTCCCATTGCTAGTGCCCAAACCTCCACAGCTAAAGGTATCTTTTTCTTTTTAATACAGTGATCCCATGTCCAAAAATACCTTTGTTTTATTAAAAAATTGTTTTTGTCCTGGCTGGCGTAGCTCAGTGGATTGAGCCCGGGCTGCAAACCAAAGTGTCACAGGTTCGATTCCCAGTCAGGGCACAGGCCTGGGTTGCAGACCATGGTCCCCAGCAACCGCACATTGATGTCTCTCTCTCTCTCTCTTTCTTCCTCCCTTCCCTCTCTAAAAAGTAAATAAATAAAATTTAAAAAAAAATTGTAATAAGCTCCTTAGTCCCCACTGGGGAAAGCTTTCTTGAGAGTTTGTGCCCTGAGGAGAGGCACGAACTTTTTCGGTCGTGAACAGAATTACTAACAACTCCAGGGGGTCTCCTCAGGGTGCGGATACTGGAGAAAAGTTCACCGGCCCATCAGCAGACTCCGAGTCCAACGCAACCAGTGGGTCACTAATCTCTGCGTGGCTTTTGAGAATTCATTTCATTTGGTGTTTAATCTTTTTTTAATTTTTCAATTACAATTGGCAGTCAGTATTGTTCTGTGTTAGTTTCAGATTAGTTTCTGTATTAGTTACAGCACGGTGGCCGGACAAGCATGTATGTAACCACGTGTCCCCCCACCCCGATATTTCAAGGCCCTACCTGGCCCCACACAAAGTTGTTATGGTGGTATTGACTATGTTCCCTGTGCCCTGATTTGCATTTCTGTGACTATTCCATAAGCTCATTTGAGAGCTCAGGCCGGCTACGACCCATCCCCCACCGAGAGTGATGATATTCGCTCTGCAAACACGCACGGCACAGCTTCTGTGCACTCGGAGCCCAGGCCTCAAGAAGGCATCGCTGCACACAGCACAGGGCACACGCACGACCAGCGCCTTGGCCAGATTCCGCTCCCAAACACATTTCGTTGGACTCACCCCCTATTTATCCAAAATTTGAAGGAGTTGCCAACTTTTCAGTATCTGACTGTTTCTAGCTTTTCTCGAAAACTCAGGAAACCTGGCAAAACTGAGCCCGCATTCCCGGCTGATGACAGGCAGAGCAACAACTGCCCACTTCAGACAGGCCCCGCCGGGGCTCAGCGCGCACGGCCCCCACCTGTGCGCCCCCCGGCAGGTGCCGGGTCCCGGGGACAGGCCGTCCTGGCACGCCCAGCCTGGGAAGGGCCTCGCTCTGGGATGGGGCCATCCAGCCAGGCCTCCCATCTCCAAAGAGCTGCTTCTTGCCGCCCTAAGAATGGCTCATGGTGGTTTCCTGATTCTGTGTCTTCTCAACTCTTCCCCTTTTTCCTAGGTTCGATTCCCAGTCAGGGCACATGCCTGGGTTGCAGGCCACAGCCCCCAGCAACCGCACATTGATGTTTCTCTCTCTCTCTCTTTCTCTCTCCTTCCCTTCCCTCTCTAAAAATAAATTTAAAAATCTTAAAAAAATTTTTAAAGGTTTTCCTTTAACCCTTACATAAAAATTAAATTTCTTAAAAAAAAAAAAACTCTTCCCCTTTTTAATAAAGATTTTTTTTTTTAGTCCTCAATAGTGTCCAGCTAGAGAAGACATCCCGGTGTCAGTGCTCACTGACACGAGGAACTTGACACAAAGGGACGCAGCAAGGCCGGAGGCGCAGCAGTAAGGAGGGAGCGCTGGGAGGGCGGGGGAGGGGGGGGCGAGCACACGGGGATGCCCCCATTGGCCAGATGGAGACACTGAGGCCCAGAGCAGGGAAACGCCGTGCCCCGGTCCCGCTGTAGGCCAGTAGGAAAACAGAAGCGTGCTCCCGGCGGTCTCCGCGCGGCTGGCAGCACATTCTCTTCCACACGCAGCCGTGGTCTCTCCGCCCCCTCGGCCCCGTCGCCCGCTGGCCCGTGTCCGAGGACGGACAGAGGAGTCCGTCAGGCCTGGGGACAAATGCAAGGGCTGCCTTCAGGGACACCAAGCACCCGGTTCTACACAAACCTGCAGAAGGTGCGTCGACGTTCATCCAAACCTACGGGTCCCCACTCTGGGGGGTCAAAGTCGCCGTGTTTGAAGAAATGTCCACCCCCCCCAACAGAGTCCGCTGGGAAAGAGAGTCCGTTTTCAAGTTTTCAAATTGTGCATTGCCAAGATGTTCCGCGTGTTTGTAACCGGCAACAGAGTAAATAAAAAGGTGGGCCCCGACCTTTGTTGCTGGTGGGAAGTTTTTCTAGAACAAATGTCATTCCCTTGCAACCCACATGAAGGTGCTGACCCAAACCTCCCCGAGGACAGAGTGAAGGTATTTATGAGAATGCAGACATTTCTTGCTGTATTTCTCGTAAGTCATTTTGGGGCCATTCAATAATACTGGCCATTCAATAATCCTCTGTAACAAATTCAAGTTAGTCCAAAAATCAGCTCTGCGTGCGGCAGGAAGGAAGGGAGCACGGCGGTGTCGGCAGGTGGAGACGGTCTTGTTCTGTCCTGCCAGCCTGTGCCGGGACACAGGGTTTCACACCTGCTCTGACAGACCAGACCGTGAGGTCAAGACAGCGGACTTGCTCAGCCACTTTCCAATCAATGGCTAGGAGCCGGCTGCACCCAGGCCATCCCACCTCCCTCCGAAACCTGCGCTTTGTCGGCCACAGCCCGCCGCACGGAAGCCCCTGAGACAGGTGGTGACCGAAGACGTGAGGACAAGGTCACATCGGAAGCAGGCCGGAGAGTGCAGTAAGCGCCGCCAGAGAGGCAGACGCAAGCTCTCAGGGCGTCAGAGGAGGGTCGGAGCCCGCGGAGTGGCGCTGACGCGGCGGCTCGGCCGGCGGGAGGGTCATCCGGACGCCCGCGGAGGCTGCAGGTTCCGTCCTGGTCGGCGCACAGGCGGGAGTGAACCAGTGAACGCGTGAGTGGAGGGAAACACAAATCAATGTTTCCCTTTCCCTCTAAAAAAAAAAACCCAAAATCAATAAACATTCTTTTAAAAAGCACATGGAGAGTGGGTAGGAGATCAGGGAAGGCTTCAGGGAGGCGGTGGCGTTCGAGAAAGACCTTGCAGGGTGCGTGGTGTTCCAACAGGCGGAGAAAAGGGGAGGGGCCCCCGGGGGGGCATGGCAGCGGCTAAATGGAAGAGAAGCGGTTGGGGCTGGGAACCCACCAGGCGAAGGTCAGCTCTCCCGCAGCCATGTGAAAAAAATAACTCCCACCAGCACCTGGGAGACAGGGCCGAATCCACCCCGACCAGGCCTGTGGGGAAAGGGTACAGTCGCCCCAGCTGCGGGCCGGTCACCTGGCCAGCGTGCCCTGTGTGCGGCCCACCTGGGGCGGGGACGGGGCGGGGGGGCAGCAGGGCCCTCTGGACCCCAGGAAGCCCCCCCCATACCCACCCTTTCCCACGGGCCCCCTCTGCGCTCCTGTCCCTCCTCTTCCTCTCCTGGGCCTGCACCTCTCAGAGTCAGAACCAGGCCCCCTCTGTCTCTGACCGCGACTCCCACCATTGCTGCCTTTCCATCTCCCGTCTCCCCGCAACCTCCGATGGTAGAAGGCTGTGGTCCCCCACCCGAGCACCTCCACCAGCGTAAGGTGGGTGGGTGGGTGGACGGACCTGGGGAGGAGGCAGCAGGAACCCCCCCCCCACGCCCCAGTCCAGCCTCCAGAGAGAACAACCCCTTTAGGGAGCTGCCTTCTCCCGCAGGCCTGCCCGCCGCCAGGGTCCCGCGAGCAGCTGCGGCCCATCTCTGTCGGCTCCCAGGGGTCAGGGAAGCTGCTTCTCGCGCAGGTCCTCCCCCCGGTGCTCGCGGGGCTCCGCTCCGGCTGGGTGCTGGAGGACATTTATTCTCACTTGACCCTTGGCACCCCACAAGAGAAGTGTGAATCAGATCCCATTTACAGCCGAAGCGAGGGGAGGTCCAGGAAGACAGCCCCTTGTCCTGGGAACGCGGGGCAGCCAGGGCCGCGCCTTCCGCAGCCACAGCGGGGAAGGGGCTGGTCTGCGTTCTTAGCAGAGGGGGCGACCCCATGCCCAGGTCGGGGGCCGTGCCCACGCGGCGTCTGGAAAGAAACCCGCGGTGGCGCGCGCCGCGGGACCCCGAGGGCGCCCGGGGGAAGGCGGGCGGCGGCGGCCCCGCCGAGCGAGGCGGGAGCCAGCGAACTTCAGAGCGTCTGGCCTCCCGGGGAGGCAGACGCGGACACGTCTGTGTCTCCCGACAAGTGCCTTCAAGCCCGGCGGGGCAGACACCTCCGCGCCGGCCGCCGGCGAGGTCTCCGCGGGCTCAGGGCGTCCGCGGGCGGCCCCGGAGGGCGGCCGGCGGAGGGGGAGGGGCGGGGAGGGGACAGCGCGGGAGGAGGCCCCCACCCGGGCGCAGGGGGCGGGCGTGCGGGGAGCCGCCCACTTCGCCGCGTCGCCCCGACGGCCGGAGTTTAGATGCGGCGGCGCCCGCCGAGCCGGGGCGGACGCGGGCCGGGGACACGCGCGGGTAGCCGGGCTCCGCGGCGGCCGCAGGATGGCTGAGGTAAGCGGGGCGCTCTGCGCGCGGGGCGGCCGGGACGACGCTGCGACCGGTTCGGTCCGCACGGGGGCCGGGGGGGGGCGCCCTGGCCGCCTCCCAGGCCACCTGCGCGGCGGCGCCGGCCGAGGGGGTCCCCGCGGCCGCGGGACAGCGTCGCGCACCGGGAGTGCGGCCCGGGCGGCGCGCGGCGGCTGCGTCCGAGCGCGCCCGCCTCCCGTCCCGCCGCTTTCGCCCCGGGACCCGCTCAGCCCGCGGCCCGCGTCGGGGGCGGCCGCTGCCACCCGGGTTTGCTTTCTGCGGAGCGTGCGGCGCGCGGCGGCCGTCGGCCCCTGCGGGAGCCGCGGGGACAGGCGGGCGGCAGCGAGCGGGCCCCGGGCCCCGGGCCGCGGGCGGGGACGCATCTTTTGTGCGAAACCGCGGAGCCAGGTGCCGGCGGGCGGGCGGGCGGGCGGGGCGGGGGCGTCCGAGCGGCGCTGAGGGCGCACGACCCGCGTGCCGTGTCGCGAACGGCGCGGCGCACGGCGCCGCCGGGGACGGAGACCCCGACGCCGCGGGGGGCGGGAGGGGGGCGCGGAAAAGCCGGACGCGCGTCTCCCGCCGCTTCGCGACGGGACACCTGCAGTGACCGAGGGGGCTGGGCGGTGCCTGGGAGCGCGGGGACCGCCGGCGCCGCGTCCCCGCGTCGACTCCCCCCCGGAGCGCCGCGCCGGTTCCCGGTGGCCGGCGGGCCCGGCCGCGCACGCGGACGTGCGTGCAGGCGGGCGGAGGGGGCCGCTGCCCGTCCCCGCGGCCCCCCGGCTGTGCCCCGAGAGGCTCTGGATTTGTCAGCCAGATGTGACAAGATCGCGGAGAGGCGAGAGGCAAGGAGGAGATCTGATATTAATCAGCGCATAGCTCCAAGCCAAACTTTCTCAAACGCGGTGTACGAACATGTTCTTCTCATTTAAGGCATCTCTTTGTGGCGGCGCGGCTGCCACCGGCCCGACTTTGACAGTTCAGTGGAATGCCAGCGAGCAGCCTTAATTGTGGGAGTGCGATTGTGTGTGTGCTGGGGCGGCGGGCGGCGGAGGGGGGAGGATCAGGCACTCCGAGGTTCCGTAATGTCCCCTGGTTTTACGGCCGCGCTCGCTCGCCGCGCTCCTCTGAAGACAAGGCCTTTAACGCGGGCCAGACGCCCGGTCGCAGCCAGGCCTCTGCTGTTAACACTTAAGGGGCCCGAGAGAGGCCCCGCTGGTGTCCTGGGAATCCCTGTCAGAGGGTGTGAGTGTGTGTGTGTGAGTGTGTGTGTGTGTGCACGGGTGTGTGAGGGGAAAACATGTGTTCCTACAGCTCTGGGTCCACGGAGCACATCCAGCAACAATTTTTTTTTTAAATATGGATTTCTTCTCATCAAAGCGACCGAGATTATGGCTTGACCGTAAGTGAAATAGAAAACGGCCTTTGACAAGTCTTTTTTTTTTTTTTTCCTTGGGGGTCCTTTCATGCCTTGGTTATTGTCTTAAGCCGTCGATGGATTCCGTGGGATCTTTTCATGGGGCGTCTTGGGCTCTTCCTTTGCAGGCACCTCCCGTCGTACCTGCTAACATTTCGGTGCAGTGATAAATAGGCTGGCTTCTCCAGGGTCTGTTCCCATTTCGGTTTGCTGGGTGTTCTTAAAACATCGTTGAAGTGGCATAGGTCACAGTGAAATTTTCGCACAGGATGTAAAAGAAAATTACTTCCGATGTTATGCATTGTCTAGGATTCAGCTTGTGCGTTCAGTAACGGTGGGGAGGTGGCCACCGCGTCTGTGAGGGTGCATTTTGATAAATAATTTCAGCCTTTTTGGCGTCCCTAAGAGGAGGAGAGTGTGAGTCATCGTCTGATTTCTCATCCAGTAAGTTTGCCAACTTTCATTTCACCCAGAAAAGGGTGACGGCTCGTTCAGCCCCTCTCTCGGTTGGACATGGGCCGGTGGGAGAGGTACCTGCCGGGAAGAGGTGGAGGAGCCTTCCCGTCGCCCAAGTGCTGCTCATGCTTTGGGAACTCGTGATGGTGTTCAGACACCTGCGTGCTTTAATTTGGAATATCCTCTGGACCTGCAGATTCTCCCCGGTGCAGAAGGGTTTATCCACACGCTCCTCCTTCAGCGGGAGAGAAAGTGGTTGCTTTGGAGTGTGTGTTTGGCCACTGCCAGATACTAGGACGTGAAAAAAAATGATCTGTTTGCTCCGGTTAGGATTCACATAAGGAATATTAACCAACATGGAGTGATTGCCATGAAAGCGTCAGGCCGGCCTAGAGGGCTCTTTTTATTTGTGGTTTTTATTTGACGTGGCTCCCGTGCCGTGGTTCGTCCCGCACCCCAGGCCCAGGCCCGCATCCTGGGCATCAGCGTGGAAAGAAGGGCAACCCCACCTATTGGGTGAGAAAAGCCGTACAGAGTCTCCCGTGGGATGAATAATCAGTGTCCCTTAAGCACACACGTACCGTGTACGAATGTTCGGGGAGAACTCTACATGGGAAAACAATTTAGAAGTTCAGTCTGCCGGTGAAATTAAACGGCAGCATAGGGGGTGAGGGGCCGAAGTGTCTTGTAGCTTTGGTGCACGGTGTTGTGGAGTTATTTTGACAGTGGCCGTTAAAGAGGTGCCCCGGAGGTTCCACGAGGTAAATTACTTGCAGGAGGAGCGTGCTGTACCCCGGGGTGAGTTTTCACCTCTGCAGATGTTACTGAGAGGGAGTAGCTTTTCTCAGAAACAGCCCTGCTGGAGAAGAATTAGACATGCCCCAAAGGGGAGCGCTCAGGGCTGAGCCACCCTCGGCTTTTGGTGCGTAAGATCAGTGTGTGGGGGGGTCACTGCGTTGTTGTTTTTTTTTTAATTACCTTATCCCAAGTATGCTACTACAGGTTTTTAATTTTATTTCATGGAGATACCCTGTTTTTCGTGGTTTATCTAAGAGATGTTCAAGGTAAACGGGGTTTTCTCTACGAGAGCAGGCATCTGGAAAGGTTTTTGTTTTTTGCCCCTGCAACTCCGTTTCCACCTGAAAACCTTATTTCCTCTTATCTTGTCATGCTTTGAAGCCCTTTTTTTCCCAATTCTGGAAATTCCCGGATTCCCAGCGTGCCCCCCCCCCCATCTCCACGCAGACAGACGCCTGTTTTACGCACCAAGACCGGGTCGGAGGGGCAGTCGGGTGTCTCGTGGTAAGTGAAGCATGGAAAAGGGCGGACCTGCCTCACCGGGATCCAATTTGCCGCCGCCTCCTCCAAGGTCGCCGGGTGGGAGGCAAACAGGCGATCGCTGCCGCCACCGTCCACACATGGGCTCGTTACGGCCCTGCCTGATGTGTCACGGGAGGCCTCTGCCTCGGGGGGACGGGGGGGGGACAATCCTCTTACTCAGCTCACGTGAAAGACAAGAGAGACGGGGAAATAGAACAGGGAGGCCGGGTCCCGGCGGCCTCGGCAGCGAGGGGAGAGAGTTGTCTCAGGGCATCTCTCCTTCCGGCGGCTAAACTTGTTTTTTCCACGGAGTGGTGTGAGTTCGTCGTCTCTTGCAGATAATTTCTGCAGTGGGTCCACGGCCCTCTTAACAACCCTGCAAGTTATCTTCCGGCTCTACACCGGCTTCTGGAAGCGTTGGCCTTGTTCTGCGGCCCTCCGACGGTTTCTTGCATTGCTCATCACGGAGGCAGCATTTTTTCACCGGCCACACTCACGTTTCACGGGACACCGGGCTGAGTTTTAAGACAGGGATCAGAATGGCAGAATTAACGGTCTGATTTTTTCCCTTTTTGAAAATCTAGGGTGGCGGGGTTTTTTTGGTTTTTTTTTTTTTGTTTTTTACATTTTGTTTTTAAAATCTAGTTCTCATTATATCCCTGAAAGAAATGTTTGCAAAAGAGTACTTAGACATGTTCACGATTTCATCATCATTATTTTGCATCAGCAGCAACAGTAAAGGTGCATTGCTTGGGTCGCCGGCCACCTTACTTAAAATTATCCCGAGGTGTAAATGTCTTCTTTTGTTTGTTTATTTCTATTTTTGTTCTCCCTCAACCCGTGGGGCTGTTGTGTTCAGAAACTCCCTACATGTGCACGTAATGTCCTTCTGGTTTCTTGTCATCACGTGTTTCTGAAGATTACCACTGACACCCCCCCAAACTAAGGTTATAAAGAAAAACAATATATTTGTGTCGCTTATATTTCTCTACGGTTTTGTTGTTGTTTTAAACAAACACTCGGTTTGGTTTCTAAGATAACATTTGCATCTTTTTCTACTTCTTGTATTTTTTTTTGGCTTTAGGGACTCATGACTTCAGGAGAAAAGGCCCAGCTGCTCAGTTGCCTGGGCGCACGGCGCAGACTTTGATTTATAGAGATCAAAGGCCGGGTGTTTCCCCCTTCACCTTCTTTGAACTGCGCGGCGAGAGCGCGCTGTGCGCGCGCGCACGTCCCCCCGCAGGTGGACTCGCCCCGCGTCTGGCCCCTGGGCGCCGCCTCCCGCCCGCCCTTCCTCCGCCGGACCCTGCTCCCTGCTTCCCCGGGGCCGGTGGCTGCTCTGTGTGTTCATCCCCGTGCCTGCAGAGAGAACCCAGAACCTGCCAGTTCCCTCCCCACGACACTTTCAGGTCGCAACCGCTGCCTGCCCGGGGTCCGAGGCTTCCCAAGTCCAGCCTTTCAACCGCGCTGGGGGCCAGCGGTGTCTCCCCACGCTGTTCAGAATGCTGACGGCTTCGTGGGCCTGGCAGAGAGGCTGCTGGCTGCCCACTGGGACGGCCCAGCCCCAGCCCCAGCCCCAGCCCCACCCTCGCCCTGGGTAGTTCGGCTCTCGCTGCCCGCGACCGGTCCGCGCCCTGGGGCCCAGCCTCCCGGGCTCGACACACAGGTGCGGGCGAGCCTTCTCCAGGCCCAGGCCCAGGCCCGGGTGGTCCCCGCACACGGGGCGCGCATGCGCCTGCCGCCTGCCGCAGGGAGCCTCCGCGGCCTCTCTACGGAGCACCGCGTCCTGCCTCCA